TCTGTTAGAGCTAAATAAAAAAGTAAACCTCACCTGTCGTAGCTGATGTTCTGTTAGAGCTAAATAAAAAAGTAAACCTCACCTGTCGTAGCTGATGGTCTGTTTGACACTTCTAGCTTCCTCTGACATCATCTCGTCTCTCTTCCTCTTCCTGCTCCTGGTTCTTCTCGGGCTCGGCGGTGGCGACGTCCCGTTGGTGGTCTGAGTTTCACACTGACCCACGCTTACTGTCTTCTGCTCAGCTGAAACTGAGGAGTCCCCATTGGTTTCTGCTGCTGGGGGGTCACCTGTASGGTCTTTCATCACCTGGTTGACCTTTAGCAGAACAACTGAGAGCTGATTGGTGGAGCCCTYAGGCTCCTGCGGCACCACCGGGCTGCCGTTCGTTAACGCCTGCTGCTCGTCAGCCTGCGCGGGCTCTGACTGGGCGGGGCTGTCCCCGGTGGACGGGTTGTTKGACATGGGGTAGACCTGGGTCTCATCAGAGGACGGACTTCCTGTTGTGAGGGGCTCCTCGTCTTTCTCCTCGGCATCTGCAGAAGCACTTCCTGTCTGATTGTAAGTCTGATCCTCCTTGTTGTCGCTCTCACATGGCTGCTCCGCCTCGTTCTCCTCTTCCTCGTTCTCCTCTTCCTCGTTCTCCTCTTCATCTGGAAAGAAGCGAATATGTGTTTATTAGAGCAGAAAACTGGATTCATCATCAAATCTTCCTGATTTAACATCAGCCTGACCTGCTGCATCCTGCTGAGTGCTGGCCTGGAGCTCCTCCTCGATGTCAGGGTCTGATGACTCATCATCCTCATCCTCGTCTTCCTCTTCCTCCTCTGCCACGCCGTTTGCCTGACTCGTCTGGGGTTCCTCTTTTGATTTATGGCCCTGGAAGTTAAAGTAAAGCTGATATTTTCTGATTTAAACCGTCAGCAGGAACATTTAACAGTTTCATCCTGGAGTTTCCTCGTTCACCTCCTTGTCTTTGCCGTCTTTCTCCAGTCTCTTGAGTTGGTCCTGCACCTCCGTGTCGTCTTGTCTGACGGCGTATTTAGTGATGACCTCCTCCAGACGAGACAAGCCCACCTCTCTGTTGGACCTCAGCCTCTTTAGCAGGGAGTGGTCAGACAGAGCCGGGTCCTCAGCTTCCAGGAGAACCAGAGGAGGGAAGACATTAACTTGATGCGTCTTCAGTTCATTTCTTACAAGTAATTAAAATCAGTTGCTTCATACGAACCGTATAAAAACCATTAAAATAAAATCTAATGATCAGAGATCATTAGAAATTCACACTATAAAACATTTAAAATACTCTTAAAGAAATGGTTTATTGATAATCATAGCTGTCAACATTACAATTAGACCGGCTTTAGCTTCTCTCTGTTGTCATCTTGTCTYGTGTGGGTTTATTGTGTTGTTTGATGTTTTCTACTAGTTGGTTTGTGTGTTTTTATATGCATTTTAGCTCATAGTATTTGAAGTATTGTGTATTGTAATTTTTATTTTGTAATTATGAAGTTTTACATTTAATATTTTGGGGTGATTTTTACCATCTAGGTGAAAAATAGCCTTTTGTCTAATACTGGCATATTTACAGAAATGTTATTAATATGCACTGTCCCTGTAATAAGWAAAGGGAAAAAATAAGCAAATCAAGCTTGATCAACATTTCAAACATTCCCTCTCTTCTTATCTATCTAAACTGCATCAGATTTTAAACTAAACATAAACACAGAATCTGGATTCTCACAGGGTTTGTAGGCGTCAGTGAGGCGGGAGCCGAAGTTGTAAACCAGGTCGAGGTGGCGCCGCTCCTGCAGGTGGCTCCCGGTCTCCCTGAAGGCGTCCTGAGCGATCAGGTGCAGCTGTTTCCGGCTCAGACCCAGGTTGTAGCGCTCGTTGGCGCGCTGCACCTGCTGCAGGATGTCCGGGTAGTCCGGGGGGTTCCTGTGGGCCTCGGGGCTGTTGATGTAACGCTCGATCTGATGGGGAAAAWTTTAAACAAAATTTATATTTTATGGCACACATGCTGCTGTTTGCTGCAGGGTTATTATAGTTAACTACAACTAACTAAATAACAAAAACTGAAGTTGTAAAAACATTTTAGTTAACTAAAATAAATAAAAACTGTAATAAAAAAAA